GTAAACGGGAGGTCAGCCAGGCTAGGGATGGTGAGAGCGTAAACGGGAGGTCAGCCAGGCTAGGGATGGTGAGAGCGTAAACGGGAGGTCAGCCAGGCTAGGGATGGTGAGAGCGTAAACGGGAGGTCAGCCAGGCTAGGGATGGTGAGAGCGTAAACGGGAGGTCAGCCAGGCTAGGGATGGTGAGAGCGTAAACGGGAGGTCAGCCAGGCTAGGGATGGTGAGAGCGTAAACGGGAGGTCAGCCAGGCTAGGGATGGTGAGAGAGTAAACGGGAGGTCAGCCAGGCTAGGGATGGTGAGAGCGTAAACGGGAGGTCAGCCAGTCTAGGGATGGTGAGAGCGTAAACAGCCAGGCTAGGGATGGTGAGAGCGTAAACGGGAGGTCAGCCAGGCTAGGGATGGTGAGAGCGTAAATGGGAGGTCAGCCAGAGTAGCAAGTGCAAATGTTCAAAGTCATGCTCTAGGTAACTTTTATTCACAAATTTTGAAGCCATGCACTTTGTTACTTTAATTTGCAAATTCATTTCAATTTCTGCATGAGTTAAACAGCAAAATTATTCCACACTAATTGAAATTGATGTCAACAATTACTTGCATCTAGCATACATAATTGAAGTATCTATATACATCATACATTTACTCAATAACATCATTTCTAAATTTTGTTTATCAAGTTCAATTAATACCACAGGCTTAGATGACTTTTTACCTGGATTGACCTTTGACCTGAGGTGGCATGACCTCCGTCGTCCAACATTGCCCTCTAAAGATAAATGATTAGTATAAGACAACCAATCAGAGAGAATGTTAGACGATTTGTGGCTGCCAGTAGGTGGCTTATCTGTTAACAGTGCACATTCTCACACAGGTTAAACATCTTTCTTTACTTTGCAACATGTTTAGAAAAACAATCAGAGAACCGTAGAAATGGTTCTGTTGTATTAGAATAAGTCTGCAGTATTCAGTATTAGTAAAGAGCGTATTTTGTGGTATTGTTAGGCCAGATAAAAAATATAGCTGTGTTTCCCGTTTCCCAACCAACCCTATTTTTACATGCCGACCCTAATACATTTTATTGTTTTTCAGTCACTGTTATGCATTTATTAGCCGTTTAACCCTTTCACCTCTGTAGACCATAATGGACTCACCTAGATAAATGTATGGTAGAGTCTACTTAAGTTACTGAGGGCAGTGAGGGGTTAAAGGGTTAATTGTTCAAAGTGTACATACAATTTGCTATGCATTATATCATCCTTGGCTCATGGTCAGTAAGAGCTTTATTTGAAGATAGTAGCTACCGGGTAAGTAGCTGTAGATAATTGTGGTTATGATACAGGTTGGGATCTGTAGATTAGTGTGACCATTTAAAGTAGTGTAGGTGGGGGAGTCCAGTCTGTGATGTCAGTGTTTGTGCCTCCAGTTGATACTGACTGCTGGAGTCAAATTTAGGAAGATTTATGGACAGTTAACCTAATCGTAAAGGGGTCAAATTTTAGCAGGATTTGGGCAGCATCAACAAATTTAATGTATCAACATTTCTAATGTAGCAGGATCTTGGTAAGGGACAGATAGTAAGGTAGTTCAGCTTGGGAGTCGAAGGAGGTGAAGAGGATTGGGGAGTTGAGTTAAGGAGTCTTGAAGAAGGAGGTTGAGTTAGGGAGACAGAGCCGAGAGGTCTAGAGATATAAAGGAGAGTTAGAAAGTTAGAGTTAAAGTGAGAATTAGGAAGTTAGTAATACTGAATTTGTGTTGTAAATATCATGTATATATAAAGTACTTATTTTGTTGTTCAATTAATTTGAACTGGTGACAGTGGAAATTTTGAGAACAGAATGCTAGTAATACAAAAGAGAATGTAACACTGGTGACCATCAGTGGAGTTTGGATTACTAAAACCTAGTGTCCTAGTAGGGAGTTTAGAAATGTAACACTGGTGGTAGCACTACTGTAAATTACGTTGGTTATTCCATAAACATTTAGGTGGGTCAAATTATAATTTACTTCAATGTGTCATCTGAGCCTGCTCAACACAAAAACTGCAGGGAATTTGTAATATGTGCATTTATTTTACATGAATAAAAAAATATTATTTTGGTGCCATTAATCTTAACATTCATGGAGGTAATCAAGAGATTTTCTTCACAAGAAAAATAAATAAAATAAAAAAATAAAAAATGTTTTTACTACCTACCTACCCAATTTATTTTGAGCCGAAACAGGAAACACACATATATTTTCTATTGGCCTTATAATATTCTGTTCTATCACAAACATATTCTGACCTCCATGCAATTTCAAATTTATAGTCTGGATTAAAAAAGGAAGGTTAGAGATGTTAATGAAAATATATCAGTGCAAGAAATATTTTCAAAATAATGAGAAACAGTCCTGCCCCAAGAGCCTCTAATGGTGGGTTCAATTTTAACCAGTGGTAATTAGCGAAACAAAAACCAAATTGTTGCCAATAAGAAGCAATGGCTTTCAAAGCTAAAATAATTTCTCAACACACATCAATCTATCTCAACCTGTTCAAAACATTTTGTATTTAGATTTAATATTTCTCTAACCACTGCTCAACCTTACCCAACCTTTAACTCATTCACCCCTGAAGTTTCATAATGAACTATTCCAACCTTTGAATTGGAAGAGTTCAAATGTGTCTTCAGAGTTCAGGGGTGAATGTAACCATTAATTATAAGCAACCTGAGTCTGGCTCCGGGACTTTGAAACAGTTTTTGACTTAACTTCAAACTCTTAATTCCAATAAATTATTTTTCCTAAAAATTAGTGACAAATACATTGAAGTACATTTATATATATAATATAATGTACATGCATGTAAAATCTCATATTTGTGTGGCTTTGAAATACTGAACAACATTTACATTTGGAAATAAGTTAGATTGCTTCAAGATTCCTGAGCCTAGATTATCACAGAGAACTATCACAGAAAAGATATGTCAGTCAAATATATCTACTATCAAATGACAATATTTCCTGCTAAAACATACAAAAAACAGTCCAGACTTCAATTCAGGAAGAGGTCAACGAAAAGTAAAGTAATACAGTATTACCAGGTCAAATTTCACTGGCTACAATCAGGAAGTGTGTTTTTTTCATTGTATTTGTAAAGGATATATATATAAGTATATAAACCCAACCATACAACTCACCTTCTGTCTCTGTCTCCACACTCAGCATAGGAGAATCAGGCAGGACACCTGTGATTGATTACATAACAATGGTTATATTCAACATACAATTGATTAAGCATATTCCCATATTACCAGAGTTTTTATCAAGATCATTAAAACCTCATTATTTAACAAAAAATGCCCAATTTATCTCCAGGAATTTGAAAAACACATGCAGTAATTTCAAATTGGATGAAACTCTCTTTTCGATAAGTATAATGATCACTAAAGGTAAAGAGAGAGTATTGACAGGTTACACTAACTATCCATTAAACTGCTAGAGAAACTCCATACACACATACCTTCTTCTTCATTGGATTTCCGTCGCAGCTCTTTCGGCACATTGATAATCTCTGATTTCTAATAAATAAAAACAAGCCTTGTACAAATTCCTTATCCAACTGTCTTTTCTGTAATCCAACTATCCACAGGGGCTTGGATTATCACTAGTTGCACAACACATAACATGCTTTCATTTTCTCAATACATAGGTACATCGTCTCTGTTGTACTTTGACCTCTTTCAAAATCTCTGGCAGGAACCTCGAGTTAACTATGTTGGTAGTTTTGAATTCTGTTTAATAAATAATATATTCCCAAAGAACTGTAGTTACCTGTTTGGGATCCACAGTGCGTGGGCGGATGTTAATTGGTTGTACACTCTTTTTAAATCCGTCATAGAACACAATCTCATAGGAACCTGTAAAATACATAATATAATTATATATAGGAATGTGTAAAATACATAATATAATTATATCTAGGTACCTGTAAAATACATAATATAAATATATATAGTTACCTGTAAAATACATAATATGATTATATATAGGAACCTGGAAAATACATATAATTATATATAGGTACCTGTAAAATGCATATAGTTATATATAGGAACCAGGAAAATATATAATATAATTATATATAGGAACCTGGAAAATATGTATGATTATATATATAGACCTGTACCTGGAAAATATATAATATAATTATAGACCTGTACCTGGAAAATATATAATATAATTATATATAGGAACCTGGAAAATACTTTATACTTTTAAAGTAACGTGAACAAAACATAATACGTACATTTTATTATTAGATATAGAAAAATGGAAAATTCATCAAACCATCATAAGAACCTGGAAAATACATAATATTACCGTAGAAAACTGACAAATACATAGAAACCAAAATGTACCATTACTGTCTGGTATACACTATGAATATACACTATGAGTATACACTAAGTACATGTAATACATGTACCGGGTAGGTAATAGTAAATAAACAAGAGATCCCAGAGGGGTCTTGGTGCCCACCTTTGTACCATCTTCATTAGTTCTTTGTCAGTTCAATCTTTTCTCTTCTTTCCTCTAATCTGTTTGATCGAGTCATGTTAACAGTAAATGCACCTTGAGGTAACTTTTGATCTAAACTTAATACTGATGTGTATGAAAGCCAACCTTCAAAGTGAGTTTGTCATTTCACATATTTACTAGTACAGTACTTGATGTGAAAGAAATAGAATCGATCATTGCAATATGAGAAAGATCTGTTTAGTTCTTCTTTTAATCCATTTTGTTTTTATGATCAGTCTCAAAATATAACATGCACAACGAGGGATCAAGGGGAACCTACATATAAAATTTGAGAAAGATCCCTCTGGTACTTCCCGAGAAATAGCGATAACAAACTTTCACTATCAAAATCCAAGATGGCTGCCTGTCGGCCATGTTGTTTATCCGATCAGTCTCTAAAATTGCCCTGCACAGCTAGGACCAAGGGAAACCTACATGTACATATAAGATTTAAGAAAGATCCCTATAGTTCTTCCGGAGAAATAGCGATAACAAACCTACACTATCAAAATCCAAGTTGGCTGCCTGTCGGCCATGTTGTTTATCTGATCAGTCTCAAAAGTTTCCCTGTACAGCTAAGGACCAAGAGGACCCTACATATAAAATTTGAGAAAGATCCCTCTGATACTTCCCGTGAAATAGTGATAACAAACTTTCAATATTAAAATCAAAGATGGCTGCTTGTTGGCCATGTTGTTTATCCGATCAGTCTCAAAAAATGCCTTGTACAACAACGGACCAAGGGGAACCTACATATAAAATTTGAGAAAGATCCCTCTGGTACTACATGAGAAATAGCGATAACAAACTTTCACTATCGAAATCCAAGATGGCTGCCTGTCGGCCATGTTGTTTATCCGATCAGTCTCAAAAGTTGCCTTGTACAACTACGGACCAAGGGGAACCTACATATAAAATTTGAGAAAGATCCCTCTGGTACTTCTTGAAAAATACGATAACAAACTTTCCCTATCAAAATCCAAGATGGCTGCCTGTCGGCCATGTTGTTTATCCGATCAGTCTCAAAAGTAGCCTTGTACAACTACGGACCAAGGGAACCTACATATAAAATTTGAGAAAAATCCCTCTGGTACTACATGAGAAAGAGCGATAACAAACTTTCACTATCAAAATCCAAGATGGCTGCCTGTTGGCCATGTTGTTTAGCCGATAAGTCTAAAAAGTTGCCCTGCACAGCTTTGGACCAAGGGGAACCTACATATAAAATTTGAGAAAGATCCCTCTGGTGCTTCTTGAGAAATACTGATAACAAGAATTGTTAAAGGACGGACGACGGACGACGGACAACGGGTGATTTGAATAGCCCACCATCAGATGATGGTGGGCTAAAAACAGAATTTGATCTTTAATCATTAAAGTTTGAAAGCTGCGGTGAAATAAAATCATTAACACCACATGGCCAATGTACAGTGTTTGTTTACAATGCTCATAATAACTCACCATCAGTTTGTACTGTTGTAATCTTTCCTGGGTACATTTTACAATCGGTCCACCGTGCATATACACTTTCTCCCAACTTATACTCCTGTAAAACAACAAAGAATGGATCAGCAAGCTAGGTTTATAACAATTGGCCAAAATTAAGCAAAACTTAGTTATGTTTATATAAACGTTAAACACTGTCATGCAATGTATATAACAACCTATACGTTAAAAAATATGTTTAGCCATAAAACCATTGAACTTGACGATGGATAGGAAAGCACAGGACAGTATTATTTTTAACAATGGCCTCTGCCTAGACTTCATGGTAGATCATGAAAATTAAAAACAGCTGAAATGAACTCGGGGGAGATTCTACATTCTCAAAATCAAAACCTAAATAAAATGTGAGTATGCACTCCCTAGAGACAAAATAACCCTTAAAAATGACATATTTTCAGTTGTTCTTGCAGATAAAACCATTAGATCTTAGAATATAGGAACAGTGAAGCAAATTCACTGGTTGAAAACACTAAATTTAAGGGTCCGAAATTGGGAGTCTCCCTCCTAAATAGGGAGGGTTGGTAAGTATGCATTTGTGCTATAAAAGTAAAATGAAAATACGTCGCGTGGAAATGACAATTGAATACATTTTATTGATGACATAAGCAGGACTGAACAAGGGTCATAGACTATATTCTAGTTCTTTCTATAGGAGGCGCGGTAGTCTAGTGGTAGGTCGTCGGGCTCATGTCAGAAGGGTTGCTTGCGGGTTCGAGGCAGTATGCTCCCCAGGGAGTTAAGAACGACATTGGCTGGTTGCAAAGGCCCTATGACCACGGATAATAATTTGTGAACCGCTTTGAGACAACCTACAAACTAGGTTGTGATTAAGCGGTATATAAGAACCTCAAATTATTATTATTAATTATTTCCTCGTTTTAGCTCTCTATTTGTGTGGAATTCATTGACTATGATGTCAAATTAAATACTGTATACCAGGAATATTTTAACGAAATTAACACTGGACAAAAATGGATTTTACGGGCAATGACCGAAGTGCGAAAGTTTGACTGGGCCAAAATATCCGATATACAGTATCTGAATACAAAGGTCAGACCAAATCTTACTCCACTTAGCCGTTTCTTTTTCTCCTTCCGCCCGGAATGCCTCATTTTCGGACGAAGTTTTTCACTGCTCATCTCCACCCACTCGTCGTAACGCTGGTTCCATCCCTCAAAGTGGATCAGAACTGTCGCCTCTTCATCATCAATGTCAACTATCTTAGCCGAGTACCTATAAGGCCAAACAAATATTATGTACCTATGTTTAAGGTAACATGACTGAAAAAAATAGAGTAGGTTGGTCAGGATTTATTTTTCTTTCATTTTTCTTTTTTGAAGGGTGGGGGATTAATTTAAGAAATTACAACAAGTGTACCGCGGGGCGGAACAATAATTGGATATATGCCCGTCAAATGCCATATAGTGTTATTGTTACTGAAATGAACAAAGGGCAATAACTTTTCCAAATATCGTTGAATCAAAATTCTTGGGGAACACAACTTCATTTTGTGATTATAATGTATATCAAGTTTCAAAGAGATCCTTTGAAAAATGTAGGAGGAGATTGCCGTACAAAAATCAAATACTGAATAAACAAAGGGCAATAACTTTTGCAAAAAATTGTCGAATCAAAATTCTTTTCAAGGAAACACAACAACATATCATGATTATTTAGCCTACTAGGTTTCAAAGAAATCCGTCAAAAAATGCAGGAGAAGATCTCTGGACAAAAAAATCAAATACATGTACTGAAATGAACAAAGGGCAATAACTTTTGGAAAAATTGTTGGATCAAAATTCTTTTAAGGGAGACACAACTTCATACCATGATTATACCTAGTGTATACCGAGTTTCAAAGAGATTGGTCGAAAAATGTAGGAGGAGATTGCGGGACAAACAAAGGTTTACGCCGGACAGACGGACGGACAACCCCATACCATAATACTGTACTCCCGTTTGACGGGTGTATAAAAATCATCAAACGTGTTTAAAGGTATTTTGAATAATAATAGGGGATTTATATTTGGTTTTGATTCCTGCCTATAGATATTAGTCTTCCCAATATACAGGATGTAGTGTGTTTGACACAGATACAATGGTTTGAGTCAGAGGTAAAATCTGGGATCCGTCAGGGTACCTGAAAAATACCAGTCATATTTTGGGGGGGGGGGGGCTAACAAAGCAATTTTTTGTAATGCCTTATCAATGTCCACTATCTTAGCCGAGTACCTAAAACTGATTATCTTTAAATGCGTTTATTTTTGTGATTTTTTATATCTTTTGTGAATTGTTTAATACCTTGGAAAAAGTGCAGTTAGTTTTCCAAATGTACAAATAGACACCTGTCAAGTAAGGTTATAATGATGATAATATAGGCTAAAAACATTGGTAGATGTTGTTTCAAAACCATTTTCTTATAAATTTGTATCAGTTTCACTTGTAATTCATTTGCAATAGACAAGTGCTATTATTAGCATCAATAAATTCTTAGAAACTTAGCAAGAAAATGCTGCTTGTGAAAAATTTGATAGGAAAGAATTTGGAACAAAGTAGGGAGAAATTTTGCAAAAAGGGAGAAATTTAATAATATAAACCTAGAGGGTAACAAACCCAAAAACCGCCATAAATTGGCCTTGATTTCTTCGTTAGTACATTACAAGACATTATTTAGCTTCAGTTTATATACATAATAAAGCCTCTTAAATATATCCTACATGTGTCAACTATGCCACAGGTTTTAATGCATACCATTTTTTCATGAAGTCCATAGCCTCGACTTTCTCGCCCTTCCTCCAGATGATACCTGGCCTGTTGGGACATCGTCCCCGTATCTGTCCATGGGACTGGGAGGAGGACGAGCTGGTGGAACAGGTGCTAATGTTGTCGGCCATTCCACTCCCACCCCCTATCCCTCCTCCACTTGGAGTCCTCATTCCATGTTTACTTGGAGTCCCACGATCTGAACTGGCTCGACTGCTTGCCGAACTGTCCAGCAAACCCTCTTCACCGATTCCACATGGAGACGAGGGTGGCACATCGTCTTGGTCGGGAGAGTCCATTTGTGTATCAAGGTCAGGGTCAGTTTTCATGCCAACATTTTGCGAACTTCCTTTTTGTTGTTGATCAATGTCCATCATTTCTGAATCTGGCAGTTCATGTTCCGATGTATGCATAGCTATACTTTCATCCACTTCTGCATCCTGTAAAATTTCAGCAGTGAAATTCCAGGTTAAAGAAAAATAAACTGACAAGGTCCAATTGTGTTTTGTTTAAGTTCTGTCAAACCATCGATAAACTCACTCCAATAGACAATCAACTTCTTGCAATTCATTACATTCATGTAAAATGGAACATACATGGTAAAAAAATACTCCTTTCCATGTTATTTTACCCCTTTCCAGGATATTTTACTGGACCTAACATTTTATTTTAATCCTTCCGGTTCCCAGGTTATTTTACCCTATTCTGATTAATTTACTCCTGTTACAGGCGAGATATTATCCAGGTTCTCTAGCTACTTAGGGTTCCATATGCTAATAGGAATAAGAAAGGCAAATACACATTCATAAGTACATTTATTATACGCTGCGGATATCCAGACAACTAAATTTAAAGTACCCTATGACCTAACACCTACATGAAGAGAAAGAAAAGAGAGAAAAGCAAGAGAAGTGATCATGAGGCTTAGATATTAAAACTATGTACATAACGAGGATGCAAAATTAGTAGAGACTGGTGGTAATCTTCAAGTGAGGACTTGAAAGAAGGTAAATCCTCACTAAGGATTTATACACACATAATATAATCATAGGTGTATAGACAGACGAGGCTAGAACCTTTGGTACAATGGTGTTATGTTATGTTAAAAATACCGGTCATGATTGACACACAGGGTACGGTTCAACTGATCAATGTATAGCCTCCTTGCATTGTTTACAATACATAATAATATGTGCCCCTGTGATTGACATGAATAGGTCCCAGTTCACCACAAATATGTCTTGGATAGCTGGACATGCAACACCAATTAAGATAGGCTTTCAAGCAAAATTTTATATTAATTTAAATGGGTTTTCTTTTTAGTAAGAACATAAAGGGAAATTTATTGTGGTCTGCATGCAGACATGTGTAAAGTGATCAGTGTGACGCAACGCTTGATGCAGCATTCATCATCAACTCGTGGAAGACATGGGGCACGAATTCAACATAAATGACTAATGTAGTTGTTGCATAAGTATTTAATGTGGTTGAAAATGATTGTAAGAGTCCCTGGAACCATAGTCAAATGCGAATAATATTTAAATTGTGCAAGGGCAGCATAAGTACCTTTACTTCCGACGCCATCTTGGTAAGATGTAAAATCCGGACCGGAAAGGTACCAGAACCCGGAAATGGATAGTAGCTTAGTTGGAGAGTTATGGTGACGCGGGTATTATTAACTATACGTGTTTGAGTTACTTCCCCTGCAAACAAATTTACCGTTTGCCATTTCACCTCCCCGATGACAAAAGTTTTATCGATATTTGTTATATAAACTGGTATTTTTCTCATTCTTTTCAAATTATTTCATACAGAGAAGAAGTAGGAGAATGTAAAGATAAAGGAGAGAGGAAGGGAAAAAGAAATCTTCGAGACTAATGTCGTATTTACCCAAAAACACCCAATAAAAAGCAATAAAGAATTGTAATTGAGTTGCAAAGCATTCAAAATTAAAGAAGTCGAAACATTAAAAAGTTTTACAGAAAAAGACAACAATGTTTTCAACTTAAACTATTTAAGATATTAAACTATTTTCCTTTCCTTTTCGTTCTATTTATCAATTATTTAGTACATAATACATTTTGTATATTGTATTGTTACGAATAGAGCCTAGTAAGTTCAGAGGCGTATACATGATATGTAATGTACGTCTCTAGTAAGTTGTAAGAACTTGTGCACAATCCCTTTGAATGTTTAATGTCAATACAATATGTTGGAATGAAACGTATTTATATCAAATAGTATATAAATTGTTTATGACTCGAAGTCCTTTCAATTAATTGATTAACTCAAAGATAGTCTGTTTTGGACAAACTTAAGCCGGTTCATCTAACAGTAGCAAATTGATAAAACGTGAAAATAAATGAGATTAATATTTATTTCCAGATATAAGTCACTGATCAATACTATGAAGTGTAGACGAGTAGGTTGCCATTTACCAATTTAGAAATAAACTAGTTAAATATAAGGAATTATGTTACGCTTCTTATACATCAATCCAAATGAAAATACTAAATGACATGAAGAGTGTTTGCCTAATTCCGCGTTCCAATTTGAACTGACTCCCAATTCAATTCAATTCAGTTTATTCTACAAGATACAAGATACAAGAAACTTTATTTAACGTCGCATACAGGTAAACAAGGAACATTAGCTCTTGAGAGCTATTATTGCGACAAACATAATTATGTAAAATAACAATAACATATTATATTACAAGTAAAGGGAGATACTCACATATATTGATAATAAAAAGCAGTAATAATCATCACAGAAAAAGAAAGTATACATATCCCAGGTTTCTAAGTGATTGGATTCTAAGGTTTCTAAGTCTCTTTACAATACAAAGTATGGAGAAACATATTTACAAGATAATTTACGATACAGTTGTTCATAAGGTAAGTCACACAAGCACAATTTAATCAATATTATTCAAATAATTCATAGCATGGAGGACAAATATCATTAAAGATTATTCTTATAAATGCACATAGTTTTTTCAAGGTACGTACATGTTTGGAATTCATCAGCTCGTTAAGCTTTAAAATGTTAGGTCTTATATAATAGTACTTATCTAAATATGTTTTTCTGAATTCAGTTAGTGATGGACATTACAATAGGTAATGAAATTCATTTCCAATTTATGTGCAAATTCTATGTTTACGGTCAATGCTATTCCATTTTCCGGTCTCGATGATACATTTGTGATTCGTTGTTCTAAATTTGCACAAAACATGTCTTTCGTTATCAGTTAAAAGATCTAAATAATCTTCAAACTTGCACTGTTCTTTAAAAATTCTATAACATACTGTTTTCGATGAATTAAATATATCCTTCTCCAAATTTTGAACAAATTGGTCATGGAGAATTTGTTTAATATTTAATTTTAACCAGGAAGTATTCAATTCTTCTACGAAATGTGCATTCCAAATGTAAGTTAAGCCACAATCATTTAATATTTGTTGGATATAATTTAAATATGGGACTGCATTATTATCATAAATTCGATTATGACATAGCAAATTATACATACATGTAATAACATTGAGTTTACATTCTTTGGAATTAATCGTTTGTGACCAATACGATATCACTGGATTTCACTGAAATATACATATACTATTAATAACCCTGAGGTTGTGACACTAATTAGAAAATAACAGAAATTTGATATCTGGAGTACGGCCTTATTCTGGGTTCGGGCAGATATCCCGGGTCAGTGCCCCGGGCAGTTACAATCCAAGTTTCCTGAAGGTACACTGATTAGGTATATACTGGTACCTAATCAAAATCACAGTTACAGGTAAATATATATACAATATAATTCTTTTATTATCGTAAGCAATACAGCTTATTGATATTATATTACATGTATTATGCACAATACAATGTCATACAAATTCAAGTTCAAGCCACACACTAATAGGTATATTCACTCACTTCATAGACAAGAGGTGTGACCTAATTTCAAAAGCTTTCCAAAATTATACAGTTCTATATATATTTTGGTTATGCAATGAAAACAAAATTAAGAGATGAATTTTTAATCGAATTGGCAAATCGGGGATTTTTCTTTTTTATTGTTTACTACATAAGGATAAATGTTGATTTCATTTTAATATGCAATGGAATATCAAACGAGTAATATGCTCATTTAACCTTATTATTTGTTATTTTACTATATAATTTGTGTATAGACTGTATAGTAGTGAATATCACATACTATAAATAATGTTTTACATTTCCACTAGATAACTATTCTTTTTGGACATCATACTTACGTTGGATGTAATTTAAGTGTTTTTTTTAACTGTATGAGATGGTAAGTAAAAAAAAAGCTAGAATAGATTGAAGATTGATTACAGTAGCTTTGCATCGTCAACGGTTTGGGGAGAGACTTGCTTCTGGGAAATCAGAAGATGAACGTTATATAATATATGATTTGTACATATTTAAATTTGTTAAGCAACGGTTATAGAATTTACATATAGCAGTGGAACACATACACGGAGAACTCTGGAAAGTTATGTTTTAAGACTCTTCATAATAGTCTTATATTTGCATATTAATTGGATAAAGTAAATATATTCAGCACAGACGATGTGCCCGGAGTCGACTAACTTAACTCACGGACCGAGATAGGTACAATGTAATCTAATTCCGTGCTTGAATAGACAAATTCACATATGCTAATTTATATAAAAATGTAGATGAATATCGATGCAAATATTCAATGAAGTCAACGAAAACATATAAACGGTAACTGCATCACAAGATATGAATCCTTATGTCAGTTTGTATTTACGTACATGAACATTCTACGAAAACAAAATAGTTATATCAACTATCGATATAAATATATGTATAAATATAGATATATTCCAATAAACAGGTACACAAAGTACGTACACATATACCAAAGTTATATGCTTTTAAAAAGGGAATTTACTTTTACTAAATACATGTCGAATTTATCAAAATAAATTTGAGTCTTTAAAAAACACGTCAAGTTATATGAATGCATTACCACAGACTTAACCAATCCCGTGCCGGGGCAACATCTAATTTTAAACATAAAACATTACAGCAACATGTATGTAATTCACGGGTTTTGTTTATTTAGGTGAATGACGATGTCATAACAGCCTTTTCTCCAAAGTTAATTGAAGAAGTTTGTTTAATGATTAAGATTCCCAAAAAAATTTGCAACTGACTGCGATGAGCAACGTTGTACTTCGATGAGCTGTCGTTGACTTGGCGTAGATTTTTCAAGATGATTAATAATTTATCATGTGAAGTGTACTTGCATCAACGTTTAACTTTTACTGTAAAAAGAGAAGGGTATGATAAGTTGTAATAATTAATGACCACTACCTTTTTCAAATAAAATATGTTTAAAGAAAAAAAACAATCTCAACGATGCCTAACCGCTTGTGCCGAACCAAACCCCGTCGGTTATTGAACGCGAAATTGATTGGCACACGAGACGTCTCTAACGAGACAGAGCAACCAGACGCTACGGCAATGCTCAAAGAAACGTGTGCTAATTTTGATGCACGTTCAATTTGTTACAAACAGGTAAAATATATAAGACCAGAGAATAATAATTTGAAATTATTTTCTGTGAAAAGCGTCTGCGTCGCTGTCCGATGAGATAGTATTCTGAGTTTAGCTGGTGAATTCATTTCCTCAGTTTCATATGACAAGACAATCATATGTGTAATTACCCATTCTGAATATTCAATAGCCAACCAAATAACTGATAAGGTGGGGTGATTTGACCAAATATATCTAAGCAAACGTTATCTAAGAATGTTTGTAGTATGAAACGCAGGTAAATCTCAGGTGAATATTTAGGTGAATATAATTGATTTGCCATTGTTTCATAAAACAACACCTGCCTATTGTTGGTAAATATGTCAAGTCAAGTCAATTTTATTTATTATAGTGTCATATATCACAATTACATCGTACAAGTATAAAGTTACACAGTATAAAAACATAAAGTTACATAACAGGGATCAATCATCTTAATGTAAAAATATATAGACCATATCATAATTTTGTTAAGAACAGCTATTATACATAATAAATCAATAAATTAAAACAAACTATCACATGTGCCAATCCAGAGAGCAGGTGATTGCGACAGCTCCTACCTAACAAACTCCTGGATTTTGTCCTTACATATTAAATACTATAATAGTTAAAAAGGTTCTTTCACATTTACTGCTTTAAAAGATGATGTCTTTAAAAAACCCAATAGCAATGGTGATAAATAAAATTAATAATTTCCTAGTTCTACATTGTAGTGAAATTTAGGTTTCCAAGGGTTGGGGAGCCCCCTACCAGCGAGGTCTGCTAAATTCACACTAACTAGAAGCTAATTATAATTTAAACGGAAGATTATTTTCATAACAAAATGTTTCTGATTGACACCTGGTATCATATTTAACAAATGCATAAATTAGAAAATGTAATTGTATATGATTTTTCATCCTAAAATGGCTTACAAGACACTGTTTAAAATTATAACTAATCACATAGACTGCTACGTCTTCTGTACATATTATATAAGTGGTTTGCAAGTGGAATTTGTAATTCC